TATCGAATAAGGACCATGATCGTAAGCAAAAAACATCCCTACCATTAAACACATTGTGTTTCCGTTAAGATGATACTTGTTATTAAGGTACACATATTTACAACAATCCTTTTAATACCAAAATGACTCTCTGTACCTTTTTAAGATGTTCCTCCATGCCTGGGAGGATCATGATGATGGACACCAGTGTCCCGAGCAGCAGAAAGAAAGAGAAGGCCAGCCGGCTGATGGTTGAGTTGTAGGTGGAAGGGCAGCATGACGACAGGAGGCAGGAGGCCGAACCACACAAACAGGACGCCTGGAGGACAGACAAGGACGTTTGGAAACATTCCAGACAGCTTTGTGTTTAAAAAACCGTCAGCGACGGCTCTGTGGGGTATGGCATAATCAGGGCAGTGCATGTGTGGTTCATTCAAACCACGGCTGAGGGAATAAACTAAACCAACACCGCACGTGCTGCCAGGACAACAATCCGTCTCTGGAGGTTAAAATCCAGAAGTGAAAAACCGTGACAAAAGCTGCCATGGGAATAAAACTGTCCTTTGTTTTCTATCAACCTAAAAAAACTGGATCAGAGAAGACCCGTGCATGATGGGTCTGAGATCAGCCATCCTTTACTAAACACCAGCATCCATGTTAGCCTTGGGTGTAAACACTGCAGCTGCAAGCAAAAAGTTTTTTTTAGAAATAAAAAATTGGTGCAGAAACAAACAAACAAAATAAATAACCAGAAAAAGTGGAAACGCAAAAAACAAATACGAAATACACTTTTTCTTAATGAGTGCTTCTCTTCAGGAATAGTTCCTTAGGTCTTCTAAAGGACAGGCAAAAATATTTTCTAGTGTGTGATGTCTCAGATCTCGTGACTTTTTGCTTTATGCTAAAATTAACTATTGATCATTTTGTAGACATCAAATTTTAAAAAACATTCTACTAATTGTGCCAATATAAACCATGGTGTTGTCAACAAGTTCTATAGGAATGACCACGTTGGTGCTAAATTAGTACTCAATAAACCACAGGAAGAAATAATGTTCCTGAGACAAAACAACTCAAACAGGTCCATTAGTTGAGTTTTAGTGGCTATTTAGTGCTGACATCATATTTAAATGAATAGTTTGATTGAACATGTCTTTAGATGATTTGATATACATTTGGCATCAGATTAAGAAGGTGATTTTTTTCATCTGCCCACAATACCCAGAAGAAATTATTAAAATGTAACACATAACCCTAAATATAAACCCTCAAAACATTTGTAGTGTCCTCAGTCACTCTTTATTCCAAGGCGGACTCCATGGTAAACATCAAAACAAGAAAACCACTCAATAAGGAAGTGAAAAAGTAAATAAAAACAAAGTCTGAACAGCAATCTAAAATATTTACCATTTAAGAATAGCTGAAACATATTTGATTATAACCTAAACCGTTTTGGCATCTTTACAAGGATAAATTACCCACATTATTTTCTTTCAGTGATCGCCACTACTAACTTTTATTTATTTTTAAATTGTTTTTATCCTTGTCTGTTCTGCTCATGTGACATGAAGTACCATGTGATTTGCACATTGAGAAGCGCTGTATCCATCTTATTTCTGGTCCGGGTCATGTAGAAACAATGATGCGAGCAACATCCGGTGAGATACCATAGCCATTGGTTTGCATGGTGAGGTTTCGTTTCTCGCAGACGTTTATTTGAATGTTTCAAGAGGATTAGAAAAATTACTTGCACTCAAAAAATGTACTTGTGGGGTTCAGGAAAATCATGTTCATGATCGTACTAACAACCAGAGGAATACACACACACATATGTATGTATATGTGTATATATACACACACACACACACACACACACACACACACACACACACACACACACACACACACACACACACACACACACACACACACACACACACACACACACACACACACACACACACACACACACACACACACACACACACCAAGAAGCCAAAAAATTCCAGTTGCCTTCATTTGACCCTTTATTATGCTTATTCACAAAATCAGACATGGTGGGCAAGATAATTAAAATATAAATATATTTAAATACAATAAAAATATATAAAATCCCCCTAAAAATCCCTCATGATATATTTTCAACCGTAGGCTGCACAAAAAACGAGCCACCCTGCGTTGATGGGTTTTGGCGTGAGTAACCCACCCAATATGGCGGCGACGCTGTTGTGTCCTCCAGCGCGTCTACGTTTTCGTGTCCGTGGTTGGCTTATCTTTCAAAGGACTACAACTCTAAAACCACCCAACTAGAATATTTTATAATTTAACAAACATTATTATCTTAATCAGTATTAGAAGGCATGCGTTTATCTAGTTTAAAAATAATTAGTTATTTATGTTAAAACCACATTTATATGTCGATGGTTAAAACCGTATGACGTAGTTTCACTTTCCATGAGTGGTTCTGAAGCTAGTCGAACTAAACTAAGTAATATTGTAGTGAGTAATGACAAATATTCAATACAAAATGCAAAGTTGTGTCTATAGTTGTTGTTTTATTTACTAAGTACCCTCATATAATGTCACTAAACCTGTCTGGTTGGTCTCGCTTAGCGACGAGCCCAGCCTTGTCCTGGAAACAAAGTCACCACATGATACAGATCAAAAGTGAACGACTAAAATGTCTACTTACACAACTGGCAAGGGATCCCAGGGCCAAACACGCACCCATGCTGCTTTATTTCACAAACGTCTTAAAAATCGCACCGCTGAAAGATCCCGGAAGAAAGTAACGTAAAACAATGAAGTCAAGTACTAAAGTAACCGGAAGTTCAAGTCCTTCAAGATAAGAGTTTAAAAGTCCACGCGCCGATCAGGAACAGTATGCGCCTAAAACGGCCCTGCATATTTTATTTTGAAGGACAGAAGCGTCGTTTTCTCTCTTAAATATGAACCAACTATCACGAGTTTATTCGTTTGGGCGTTCCTGTGACCGACCATAGAAATATTTTACTTTATTAGTTTAGCAAAACATCACAGAAATTGTGAATTTTTTTTGTCAGAAATTTTTGAACATTAAAATAAACTCACGTGATTTTAAGTCTCCTAAACGTTACTGTGAAAAAAATAAGTTCAATTGCCTTAGGCAAGAGAAGTTAAAAAAAGTGGGCATTTAAAACTTTAACATGCTTATTTATAATAATTTATACTGTGTCAAATTCATATTGTTACTAATCTGACATGAGTTAAATAGATTTCATAAAATGTCGTGGTATATGTGCATATTTGTGCACAAAAATTACTTTCTATTGAAAATCCATTTGTGGATGTTGCTGGTATACTTGCACAACTCTGAAGTCTATACTTCCACCCACTGTGCAGTGAATCTGGTGACAATAAAGAAATAAAAGCTCTAAAATACACTGCTCACAAAAATTAAAGGAACACTTTAAAGAAACACATTAGATACATCAGATCTCAATATGAAGTTGGATATCTATGCAAATAACGACAGGGCCTACAGGGGGCTCAGTTGTGTAGACACCTTGAAATCGGAGTGAAATGAAGATGTGGCAGGCTAGTCCATTATTTCAAAAACTTAATTTCTGTAACTCAGATTGCTTTTCAGTATCTTGTGTGGCCGCCACGAGCTTGTGTGCATGCTTGACAACGTCGTGGCATGCTGCTAATGAGACAACGGATGGTGTCCTGTGGCATTTCCTCCCAGATCTGTGTGAGGGCGTCCCTGAGCTCTTGTACAGTCTGAGGAGCAACCTGGCGCCGCCTAATGGACCGACACATAATGTCCCACAGATGTTCTATTGGGTTTAACTCAGGGGATTGTGAAGGCCATTCAACTGTTTCAGTTCCTTCATCCTGCAGCTACTGCCTGCATACTCTTGCCACATGAGGCCGGGCATTGTCGTGCATTAGGAGAAAACCAGGACCTACTGCATCAGCGTAGGGTCTGACTAAGGGTTCAAGGATTTCATCTCCATACCTTATGGCAGTCAGAGCACCATTTCTAGGCAGTACAGGTCTGTGCGTCCCTCCATGGATACGCCTCCCCAGACCATCACTGACCCACCACCAAACCTGACATGTTGAACGACGTTGCAGGCAGCATAACGTTCTCCTCGTCTTCTCCAGACTCCTTCACGTCTATCACAGGTGCTCAGGGTGAACCTGCTCTCGTCTGTAAAAAGTACAGGGCGCCAGAGGCAGACTTACCAATTCTGGTGTTCTTGAGCAAATGCCAGTCGAGCTCTCCGGTGCTGGGCAGTGACACAGGGCCCACTACAGGACGTCGGGCCCTCAGGCCATCTTCATGAAGTCTGTTCCTGATTGTTTGGGTGGAGACGTTCACACCAGTGGCCCTCTGGAGGTCATTCTGTAGGGTACAAGCAGTGCTCAGCCTGTTCCGCCTTGCACAAAGGAGCAGGTATCGGTCCTGCTGATGGGCTGTGGACCTTCTACGGCGCTGTCCAGCTCTCTGAGAATAACCGCCAGTCTCCTGAAATGTCCTCCATGTTCGAGATTGTGCTGGGAGACACCTTAAACCTTCTTGCTGCAGCACGTGTGGATGTGCCATCCTGGAGAAGTTGGACAACCTGTGCACCTTCTGTAGGGTTAAGGAATCGCCTCATACCACCAGTAGGGGGCCAAAACCAGCACGAGTGGAAAACCAGCCGAAACAGATCAAGAGGGAGAAACTTGACCTCTACATGTTAAACCAGTCCTGTTTTGAGGGTTTTGTAATTGTTGCCACTTTAGTGCACCTGTCGTTACGTCCATGAACACCAGTACAGCTGAAAGTGACTAACAATGCCCTCAGCAGCTTAATCAACCAGGAAATTATCAGACAGGTTTAACTTATTTCATGCCAGGCCCAATAAAAAAGTGTTCCTTTAATTCTTGTGAGCAGTGTATATTAGTATGTCAAACACACATTCAAAAGCCAAAATGCATGTTCTTCACCTGGAGAGATGCACGAGAAACGTTTCATTGTGAACGTGTTAAAAGATAATCCAGTTAGAAAAGTTTAAAGTTGCATTTGACATGCTTGAAGGTGACTAAAGATTTATAAGAAAAAAATTGTCTGTTATCATCATCAATCCATAAAAGGTTTAAAATGAAAAATGTTTTTTTTATTTGTGCATTACATGCATTACGTTGAGCAGAATAGAATAGACTTTACTGATCCCACAGTGGGGAAATACACTTGTTACAGCAGCACTAACACTTAGAGAATAACAAGAAGAAAAAATAATAACAAAGGTACATGTATATAATGTACACATAAGCAGTAAGCTAGTATTGCAACCTTTGACCACGAGACCCCCCAAATAAAAAGTGTAACACGGATTCCACCACCATGCAGACTGGTAAGGGACACAGACATACTATGTACATCTGGTATTGCGCAGGTTTTGAACACATACTGGGAACTGCGCTGGTGTTATTGTGCACCAGGATAATGCCAGTACCAGTTTAACCGAGGAGTTATTACTGCAGAGGGGATAAATGATCTACGGTAGCATTCTGTTTTACATCTGGGATGTCTCAGTCTGCCTCTGAAGGAGCTGTCCATGGTCTCCACAGTAGGATGCAGTGGGTGGGAGTTTTTTTAAAAGATTGAGGTCATCTTCCCCTGCATCCTCCTTTCACACGTCTCCACTGGGCAGCCCAGAACCAAGCTAGCTTTGTTAACTATCTTTTTCAGTCTCTTCCTGTCTCGATCAGAGCTGCCTGCACCCCAACAGACCACAGCAGAGTGGATGACAGAGCCAACAACAGAGTGATAAAAGGATTTTAGCAGCTGGGAATTAACTCTGAAGGACCCCAGCCTCAGGAGGTGAACACCCAGGTACTTAAATGTATTATTATTATTATTATTATTATTATTATTATTATTATTATTATTATTACTTAAATGTATCCACCACCTCAATGTCTGCTCCTTGGATGTTTACTGCTAAGTGTGGAGGAGTGTTTCTCTGGAAGTCAGTCACCATTTCCTTTGTCTTACTGATGTTCAAGCCCAGGTGGTTACACTCACACCAGTCCACAAAGTCCATGATGGCTGACCTGAACTCCTGGTCATTCTCCTCCAACACGCAGCCAACAATGGCCGAGTCATCAGAGAACTTCTGGAGGTGACAGCTGTTGGTGTTCAAGGTTCAAGGTTGTCTTTATTAAATCCCCAAGGGGGAAATTTACTTGCTTTGGACAAGTAAAAAACAACAACATGCACATACACCAACAAAACATTCACTGGACAGTGCTATAAACCACAACCATGATAAAATATCAAATATACAATCATACAAAATGCTCTTTCTCAAAACGCACTGCAGCAGGATGTTGTAGGTGAAGTAGAAGGTGGTGTAGAAGGTGAAGAGGAAGAGTGAGAGCACCATACCCTGTGGAGCTCCAGTGCTGCACACAACCACCTCAGACATACAGTTGTGCAGCCTCATGTATACTGTGGCCTGTTGGTCAGATCTTCATCCACTCCTGATATGTGATTCCTTTAATTATATTATATTATATTATATTATATTATATTATATTATCTTAACTTAACTTATCTTATCTTATCTTATATTATATTGTGTCTCTGTGTGTGTGTGTGTGTGTGTGTGTGTGTGTGTGTGTGTGTGTGTGTGTGTGTGTGTGTGTGTGTGTGTGTGTGTGTGTGTGTGTGTTCTGTCTTCTCGATCCCCAGTGAGTCGTGGATGATGGCTGCTTATACTGAGCCAGGATTCTCTGGAGGTTTCTTCCTGTTAAAAGGTAGTTTTCCTCTCCACTGTCGCTTTATGCTTGCTTAGTATGAGGATTGCTGTATAGTCACTGACACTAGTCAGTGACTTGATGCAATTTGCTGGGTTCCTTATATAGGAAACATTATTTCTGATTGGCTTAATGAACTGACCTGGATTGGAATGTTTATTATGTGAAGTGCCTTGAGACGACTCTTGTCGTGATTTGGCGCTTTGTAAATAAACTTGAATTGAATTGAATATATTATATTATAATATCTTATCTTATCTTATATTATATTATATTATATTATATTATAGAGCCAATTACGATTAATTGGTAATTATTTGAGGTTTTCTGTACAACTGAAGTAGCGTGCATCCTTGTTTATTTTCACCTAAAAATCAAAGTTTCCAGAATAAATTTTAATCTCGTTTTCTGACATGCCAAACTTCATGTGGGGACTATTGAAGACGCCCAGCTTTTACTTTGAAGTCTGCACCCTTGTTCTTTTTGCGTCCGGGCTTTTTGCGCGCACCTTGACGCTCCTCCCTGTTGCCGCTGAGCGCTTGCCAGTAACCGCTCGAGCGTCGGTGCTGCGTTTACCGCTCATCCGTTCCTTGCTGTCAGCCGCTGTGACGTTCCGGACCGGACGGACTCCCTGACTATGTGTTTTCCTTGCTGAGGATGGTGACCTCCGGATAGTTCCAAGTTGGGGCTCATTTCGCCTTTTTTTTCATTCGTAGGTGCACTTAATGGGTGAGTGTCCGTTCTTGCGCACGCACCCGGTCAGTTGTTTAGCTCCACAGGTAGGATGCACTGATATCTGCTGTTATGTGTTGGAAAAAGCAGGCTGAGGAGAACAAGCTGCTGCAGTAGGCGTGCAGGGGGGGTCAATAAAGCCTTTATCCGTCCTGAAGCTGACCGCTTATTGTTAACACCGAAAGACAACATTTAAAGCCTGAACAAGAAACCATGCTGTCTTTTCTCAGCCATTAGCCCGCGTGGAACAGGCTGCAGGCTGAGCACCTGTGTTAATGTCGACAGCAGCCATACCTGTCACCTCCATATGAGCTCATGGCAATGTGTGCATCAGCTGTTTCCATAAAAATACCACCGGCTCCAGCAGCGAGCTCTGTGGCTGCTGGATCATCTGCTTTGGTTTATTAGATGTGTGCAAACCGCGACCTTCAACGAGATGAGGGCAAACCAGACCACAGTCATAATTTATTAGAGCAGATTTTAAAATATCTAGATCAAATTAGCATGGAGGTTTAGCAGCACACCACTTTTTTACAATAAGGCTGCATTAAAACAATTAACCAGCAATGTTGTTTCACAAAGAACCCCCTGCCCCCGAAACAAACAACAACAACAAGAGATTAAAAAAGAAAACCACTGTTTTTTGAACTGACTGCTATATAAAAAGACCATAAACCCCTAAATCTCCTTAATCTTAGTTTCTATTCATGCCGTTATCCTTGGTTTAGCACCTGTGCACAGTCATGTCCCACTGAAGCTCACAGGGCCTTGGACAAGTCTTCACGTGGAGCTAAAAATATAACCCTTTAGATTTTTACACCCTGCTAGGTCGTCTGTCTTAGTCTTGTCTTCTTTTGCTCAGAGAACCACGAGTTGAGTTATGTCAGGTGAGCAAATGAAGCCAGGGTATCTGCTCTAACGCCCCCACTTCCCTGGTTTTAATATTCATTTTAGCTCCAAGGCATTTCTTTTTATTCACCGTTTTTTTCTTGACATTTGATTCTCCACGAGATTGTGTTTGTTAAAGGAATAACAAAAATAAAAATGGCCTCAATTCAACAACTGACTGCCGTGTTGATTACAGTACTTTTCCTCAACATGGTGGACACAAGTCAAACACAAGTCCACAAGGACTTCTTTTTTTGCCATTGTTTCATTTAATTGCCTTTTTTCTTACTGACTGTCTTTTATTAATTTCAACTAGTTAAAATACACCACTTCCCGAGATATTACCAATGCAGCATCTTTGTGAAACCGTCCAATATGATTTATTATGGGATGAATCATTTTTTACCAAATGGCAATAGAAATGGGCAGAATAAAACAGAGGTGTGGTCTCGAGTCACATGACTTGGACTTGAGTCATTATTTTAATGACTTGAGTTGATAAATGCTATAAAGACATATGACTTGACTTGGACTTGAACGCCAATGACTCGCGACTTGAATCAACTTACATCTGTCGACTTGATAATGACTTGAGCATATTTGATATTTTAGCACAGTGTGTGTGTGTGTGTGTGTGTTAGTGGCTGTGCCCTCTCGGTCTGCCAGGCAACAGCATTTGTTGCATTTTTCAAACAGGAAGTGGGAGTGGAGCTAGACTCTGGTAGGGGGTGACTTGCTGTTTAAGTGTCAGTCATACATGTAACGAGTTTTCCTTTGTGAAGATGAAATTACTAGGTGTAAACATTTTTGTTTGAACTTCATATCACTTCTAAGTCTTTATTTCTAAGGCATGTGCCAATCTGAACTGAGAGAAAATCGACAATCAAGTAGTATCTGGCTGGCACTTGTGATTGTGCAACCATGCTCTGAATAATTTCCTATTAATGGTGGGAGTTTGTCATTTTGAGGATAGAAACAATAGTTTCACCGCCTAAACGCGAGTCATTTATTATGTGTCTGTATTGACCAGTGACCTATAAGAATGTAGGTCAAGTTGTGCTTCGGTAAATTCCACTGCCCTTTACTGTAACCTGTGTACTGGATGCCATTTGGCTGCTTTACTTTTATCTGTCGGCCATTAAAACCTGTCAGGCAGGTACTTTTCCCACCTGGGTGTTGGCGACATGATGGACAGTGGATGTGCTAGCACAATTGGGAACAGAGAAGACCTCTGGGCTCATTTTCTCAGCAGTACTGTTTTTCCAGAGACAGTAGGGTTGAAGGATAACACACTAGACCTTCTATGACTGTACCACTGACACGTCGACTAGAAAATGTGTTTAGTCGGTGTCATCTGCCCTGCATCTACAACTTCACCATTCTGGTTAGGTGAGCGAAAGAGGAGGTGACAAGAAATGGTTTTCGATAAAGACAAACGGATTATTGTGATTCCAACGGCATCCAGCCAATCCTCAGATCAGCAGCCATTTGAATGTATAGAAACAGCTGCTCATGGAGTTCCCTCTGTCCTGGAAACAGGCATCTCATCAGACATCAGCCATGAGAGGAGCACATCCTGCTCGGCGGCTAATAGGATGGAAGCAGGTCAGTCAGTTATAATTCCAGGGTCCCCATTCAGTGTGGTCTTTATTCAACACAATGTGAACATCACTGAGCAGAAACCAAAATGGTCTGGTATTCTGCCCTGGCTGCTGTAGATGCACTCAGAGAAGTGCTTTGATTGCTTCAGGGTGGCTACTGCTTCTGCATAGACCCAAAGGCATCACTAGATAATAAGAATTTTATAAGTACAGCTAGCACGAGTTCACGTGGAAGGATCTGAGCTGGATCCATCACACTCCCTGTTCTTTCTAGAGCTTTATAATGAGATGATTGTTGACTTATTTTATTTACAAATTCGTTTTGCATGCAGCATTCAGCTGTTTGTCAGAGCAACAGTGAAATGGTCACTCAAATATTTTCCTGGAAGCATTTTGGAGCAAGTGGCGACTCGTGAATCCAGCAGCGATAGAGAGGATAAAAAAGTTAAGAAGGATTCATACTGAGGTGAGACAAATTGTGAAAACTCAAAATTATTCCAGTTTTTGTTTTGGCAGTAATACCTACGATGTGAAAATATGTAAATAATGGGAATTACAAAATTGAAATAGTTAAAGATCAGGTGAGTGAGAAATAATTTACTTGTCATTTTTAAAATATGATTGGTCACGATAAGTTTAACATGCAAGCTAAACATGAAGGTAGTCTTCTACTCTATTTCCTGCATTAGAAAAGCGGACTCACCCATCTTGGCTTACGACGAAGAAGGCTTGGTATTCATTTAGCGTCCAGGAGAGAGCAGAGCACGTCTCGGCTAGTAGAAGCTAACCATTAGCATTAGCAACTCCAAACCATGGCAGAACTCCTTCAGACTTGTTATTTATATAAAACATCAACATTGCACAGCAAACAGAGTCAGCGGTAGAGTTCCATTGCTGTTAGTCAATCAGAGGTGAGATGTCCAAATATCAGGAAACAAGACTCTAAATCCTGCCATCTGAAGTACTTTCTCCATCTGACTTGTACTTCCTTCCCCTGACTACGATTCACAAGGCATTCATTCCTACTAGAGACCACTGCAAATGTATCGATTAAATCAGTAGGGCTGTAGCGAAGCCTCGACGAAGTCGACGGCTCGATTCTAAAAATTTGTCGACGTCAGATCCGGAAGTCGACGCACCGTGCCCACTTGTTGCATCCCCAGGAGTTAGTAAATAGAGGAGGAATCTGCCTGTTTTTTCTGTAGTTCGCCCTCTTCTCCGCCTTCACTAACATCTCCGCCAAATACCGAAGACCCGGAACAACGTCCGTCCACTACTAGATTATTTTCCTGTTTTGCCCCTTCGTCTCCCGGCAACGGACAACAACTTCCGGGGTCAGACGCGCTGCTTCGTGTCTATCGCAGATGTAGAAAATCACCGGGAGCGTTTCTCCCTTCATTAAGGAGCTTCTTTCAGACATGAGGAGAGCTGTTTTGGTGGTAGCAGTCTCTCCTCCGTGCTGGTCTGTTTGCTGCTGGGTGTTTTTGGTTTATTTAAATTTGGTAACTTGAACTTAATGTTGGTAAAGCTACTGTTAGCATCTTCGCTAACAGCTTCTTGCGTTGGGATAAGCTGTTACGTTTTGGTTTAGAGTTCATCTTTTTTGTGGTGTAGATCTCCCTTTTTATTACATTTAGAGTGTTATGGGTTTTCGGTTTAGTTTAAAATATAACCTTGAGTTTGGTTTAACCTGTAAGACCACTCGCCTCACGCACATAAGTGACCAAAACAAAGCAGCATGGAGACACTCCATCTTCTACCACCTCTCAGGCAGCAGCCTGCACTCCCAAGTTCTACAAGTCACCAGAACATAACCAACCGCAACACAATAAAAGCAGTGTTATACAAAATGGAAGGCCTGTAGTGTTTATTCTCTTACAGTAAGAATTTATCAATTTTTTTGAGGAATTTATTTGAGATTTTCTGGTTTTTGTTAATTGTGCAATAGAAAAATAATCATTAGATTAATTTTCTAAATAGTCATTAGAATAGTCGACTATTCGATAAAATAATCGTCAGAATAATCGTTTTAAAAATAATCGTTTACCCCCAGCCCTATAAATCAGTGAACCACACTTTTAAATCAGGTGTGCCCAACCATGGTCCTCGACATCCCCTTTCCAACATGTTTTAGAAGTTTCCCGTTTCAACACACCTGATTGGAGTCAGTGGTGATCAGCATTTTTCTACAGAGCCTGATTAGCTGTTGAACCACAGAATCAGCAGGGTGACACATAAAACAAGCTGAATAGGGGATCTTGAGTACCAGGGTTGGCCACACTTGTCTTAAATGTTTGTTTTCCACCAATAATTCCAGATATTATAGATTTATGGTTGTGGAACTTCGGGGAAAAGGATTGCACAGTGAATGTTTCCTCAACCACCCCCACTTCAGAAAAAACCAGGTATCTAAAATATATTCCACTTGTGTTTGGTGGATGATGAGTAGAAAGAACAGCATGATAGATGAGGCTCAGTAAGAACATTATAAGGACGAAAACTGGCTTA